GAATGCTGCAACAGCCCTTTCACATTTCTCCCCTATCCCCAACTGCTGGGACCTCTCAGGGCTTGGGCCTGCTCCCCATGCCTCCTGGAAGCAGCTACCATTTTCAGTGCTCCAATAATATCTTGCAGGAACGACGGCTGCTTTGGGAGCTTTCTGATTAGATCAGCTTGCCATTGGTGGACTACAAACAACAACTAGCTCTTTCTAGGTTTTGGAGAAGCCAACTACCTACATGCAAAGGCGGCAAATTCAGGAGGAACCTCTAAAAATCTTTTCCTTGCTTAAACCCCTCCCTTCCCCTGAAACCCACATTTCTTCATTAAAGAAAAAATAAAAAAGGCTTGGAATGGGGGAGGGGGGGAATAAGGCTTGTTAATTCTCCATTAGATGCTGAAACTAAACTCTCCACCTCTATCCTCCAACCCCAATCCCTTTTTAAAACCGCATTTGCATAATTTACTGCATGCCTTGACGAGTGACAGCAGCAGTCCCCAACCTTTCTACTTTGATGGTCAGGCCCAGCCCAGCCCAAGGAATGATGGTGCAAGTGGCAGGTGCACACATGCATGTATAGCTCTGTTGGTGTGAGCTGTGGGCATGTGCGCCCTCCATTCACATGAATGGAACTTTGTGCGTAACTGACAGGCGCTGGCTCCACTCATGTGATGCTCCACTTGTGTGAGCGGAGGGTGCTTGAACAGAGCACAAACACCCACCCACCTGCTCAAGCGCCCTCTGCTTGCGCCAGTGAAGTTTCATGCACGTGTTTGCCAATTACTCACGTGGCCCGGTGTCTAACAGGCTGCAGCCCAGTAGTGGGCTGCAGCCTGAGGATTGGGGACTCCTGGAATAAAGGAAGAAACCAAAGAATCTTTTTGCAGCGTGTGTTGAGGAGCTGAAGAAAAATTTGGCTCAAATAGCTTAGCTGCACGGAGCAACCTGCTCCTTAGAAACATTTTTACCGTTTGACTGCTTTCAGGATCTAGCTAGGACTCCTCTAAAGTCATCACTTGCTGAGTAATGGACTGGCTCTTTATGCTTGTAGGTCAAGGACTACCTGCGTGTTACAGTTATAAAGAGAATGTTTATACTATGATGTATCATTGGTAATGTCAATGGAAAAATTGGTTACAATGTATAAAAATTCTTCAAATGTAACCAACAATTTTACCATACTTAGTGGATATTTAAGAATCAGAACATTTTGGACTAGGTTTTGTATACAATAATATAGAAAATTTTGAAGTCACATATACAATTGAAATCATAGACTTTTTATGATTAATAGGTAAGCAGATGGAAAAAGTTATAGAACTCACAAGAGAAAAAATACAATAATCTGTCTTCAGGATTGCAGAAATTATGACCACAGGTCAAATGCAAATATTTTGGTGGCTGCTGCATATCAATCACCGAAAAGAAAATATGTCTGCATATTTATTTCTACAGAGTGATTGAGATAATAAAAATATGTTGATCTTGATTCTAACAGTTCAACCTTCAATATCTGAATAATTAATCTTTAATCCTTCTTTTATTGTTGTATTAGAACTCATTGTGAGAAAAAAGATGTAAATGTTTTTAACACTGAATGCTGCAATTGTACAATAAAAACAAATGAACTGCAAACATTACATAACAAAGATGTTCTTCCTCACACACAACCAGCCTCAATTTCAGCATATAATGGAATTCAATATTTTATTGTATCTTCCAATTGTATTTCTACTTATAATTTAATGGATTCAGTTCAAAACATCTCACTTTAAAAATCTCTTAAACTTTTTTTACTATTAACAAGATGTAGAAACGGATAATTCTATCCATTAGATGTACAGTGTCTGTGGCTTAATTAAATAAGGCCAGTCCGATTTGTATACAGGACAGCTATGAATAGATCTTTTTCCATTTGTAAATTCATGAAAGTAGACATTGTATAGTTTACATACAAAGGCTTACTATCCTTTATAATTTCAGGGGGAAAGATTATCTACCAAGTGTGATTGATGCAGCCCAGAATTTTGCATGAACCTTAACAAAGCAAATCCTTGCGTTACATCATCTAATTCTGAACATCTGAAAAAGAATCCCACTAAAAGTAAAGTAATACATATAAAATCTTCAGATGAGTATTCCATAGGTAAGCATAAGAAAGATGCTGATACCTGTACTTTATATTACCTTATATTCTCCATGGGAATACAAAATAAACACTTTGGAAATACATTACATCTCCTGAATAGGGATTTCTGAATATCTGCAACTAAATAATCTTAGCAATCACATTCTTCAGCAGTATCTTTTAACTTTCTATTATTAATAGCATCCCTTGATTTTCCAAGAACACATGAGGTATAGTACATAATCAGCATTTACCAAAATAAACGGAACATATTCATGGTTCATTAGAACAATTTTCCTTAGTAAATTATTTCTTTCAAACGGCTATTTCGATATCCAATTTTGGCTTTGTTCTCTAATTGATTCTTTAGCCAGTCTCCATCTTTTCACAGAAGCCAGAATGTGGCTATTTGCCAATCTGGCACAAGTTGCCCCAAATGCCATACTATTTCCATATCTTAGTTGTCCTTTGCCTATAGATTCATGTCTGGTTTTACATTCTTTTGGCCGGGGGTCAACTCTCTTCCTTTATACAGATTTTGACTCTAGCTTGATAGCTGTGCTCTACTCTTTTTTCTTCAAGTATATCTTTGGAGAAAAGATTATCAAACAACTAATATCGGTTTCATGAGAATGTATTTATTTATTTTGAAATGTTTCAAGCATATCAGGGTTTACAATGGTGCCAATTCCAAAGCCTTTTAAAATTATAACACTATTAGCTTTGGATTGCTCAAGAATTTCCACCCTGGATTCATCACTACAAAATTTTCAATGTCTGAAACATGCATTACTTCAGTATATGTTTCTAAGAAACAGGAACTTATCACTTAATTACTTGCTCATATAATTCCAAGGCTCAAAATGCCTTGATTATAACAGAGGAAGCTTCTTCACTTTAAGTGTAAATTCCTTTCACATGAATCACATAATCTTTGTGATTAATATAAAATAAAATCTGAAGTTGTTTTTTTTAAAGGATTCTTTTTGGTGCTGCTGCAGTGTAAAAATTGTGCACATAAGAACACAAACATTGTAAAAGATGTCGGTTCTCTGTAACCAGCACAGAATAAATGCCATAGCCAATCAGAGTGCCAAGGTTACTAGACCATGTACAACTACAGTTTTTTCCATTTAAGTGATGAGTTTTAATGTCCAAATCCATTACCAAGAATTAAAGCCACTATTTAATTTGTACAGGGCTTCAATTTCTTCTATTGCTTTAAGTACCGTAATAGCGTCACTTCTAGAATCTGTCCTATCATTACTTCAGATATTGTAAGATTCATTAGGGAATAGCAATAGCAATACATAATTACTATTTACTATTACTTGAAAAGTATATAAAAGTTAAGAGGATAGGAAGAAACATTGGGGACCCAAGGATTAAGATGCATTATTGCCAATTGCTTAACATCTCTATCATTATGCTAACGGAGAGTTTTCATAAATCTGAAGATCTAAATCTGTATTAATTACTGCAACATCATGAATTCAAACTTATCTTACTTTCACATCTCACTAGCACATACATTCAGACTAAAATCCTCTTTCAACAATAGAGTCTAGACCAGGCCTGCATAGTATGGGACACCTCTCCACCCCAGGAGCCTTGTATGGCTCACCAATTTTTTGTAAAGTAATAAATTTATCATCTTCCTAAAGATGTGCTCCTGAGCAGCTCCAAACCTCACCATCCACTGCCAGATCCAGCACTGCACCCGTTAATGCTAACCAGCAATGAGCTGGTAACTGTGTCACCTAGGTATTCCTTTGCAGCTAACAATTATTTTCCACTTATCAACATAGCCCCTTCCCCTCTACCTGTTGTGCAGGCTTGGTCTCAACATCAAGATGCCCATACTTGAGTGTCCCCTATCAGCTAATTGCAGCAAGCATCTATAAAAACATAGTGTTAGTTTAAAGCAAAAGGAAGAATGACAACCAACAGAAAAAAAAAGTATGTAGTTCAGGATTGAACTGTAGAGTTCTTGATGTTCTCTGAGCTTGACGGTTTGGAGATGTTTCATTATCCAATTGGTTAATATCAGTACGAATTAATCAGTGAGTACTGATGATGTCACCCAAGCTGGGAATGAAATGTGTGCAAACAAACTGTGAAAACAAACACCAAGGACTCCACAAAAATGACAACAGCTAGCTGACTTTGGATCATCTCAGAAAACTAAATGAGGCTGGCTCTGATTAATGCTTGGATGGGGAGCCACCAGGAAATCCCACAGGTGTAGAATATTACTATATATATCTTGCTTTATTTTGTATAATTCAAGGTTGGTGAAGAACTTATTCTGGCCTCTTTCTGTCGGCTGGGCTGAGAGAGTCCCAAGAGCACCCAGCTGGCTTTCATATCTTAAGGCAGGCATACAACTCACTACCTCCTGTGTTCAATACCTTAAACATTATGCCAAACTGGGTAGATTGGTCAACTCCCCCCCCCAAAAAGGGAGGGGGAGGTAACGGCAGGCCCTCTTGTGCACCGTGGCTAAGAAAAGAAGTATGCAAGTGCCTCCTCCCTCTTTGCCTCCATCCACCAATGGGGCCTCGCGGGGCTTTCCCCCCAACGGGCCCGGCGGAAGAGGCACCGCTTCCAGACGCCACCGGGAGCAGCACCCAAGCAGGGGCTCCGGGACATCCTTGCCACCAACCGGCGGTGGTCCTCGCCCAGGAAGGGATGCTTGGGAGTAGCCGCCGGCTCCCTCACTTTCCCGGGAAGCCCCGTGAGTCATGCTGGCGGAGGCGCCAGTGAGAAGGGCCCGCGAAGAAGAGGCTCGTCCGTCCTTCTTTCCTTCCTTCCCCTCGGGATTGGCTCACAACGGCCGCTGCCATCCTGGCACCCCTTCTCCTTCCCCCTTACTTACACAACGACTCGGGAAATGATGCACGACACCATGTTGTTTCTCGAAGGGCTGGGCCTTGGATCCTGCCACCGCCCACCCGCCCCAGAGCGAACACCAGCCGCAGCGTGCCTCGGTCCGACCCGCCCTCCCCGCTCGCGCTCCGGCTCCTCGCCCCGCCGGGCCTCGAATGGCTCCCCCACCGTTTCACAGAAGACAACGGAGCTCCGCCCTCCCTCACAACTGACACACGCCACGCCCCACTTGTCACGGATTGGCCTCTGAGATCCCCCCGGGCCTTCCTCCGCCGTCCGTTCAATTGGCGGCAGTGCGCATGCGCCTCGCTTTGCCTGGGGAGGAGAGAATGGGTAGGTAACAGGCCGGGAAGTCTGCGCAAGCGTAGCCTTTTTCCTCTTTGTAGGTTCATCGCGAATAGGGTAAATTCCTTTTTGTAGGGGGTTTAATGCGCATCTTTCGTGGGGTAGTTATTGTTGCTGCCTTGTGTACTGTCTTTGTCGTTGACTTATAATGCCATCTTAACAGTTTTGCATAGGATCCAAAGCATTGGCATCGCTTTCCGCGGGGATTCCTCCCCCCCCCCACTCCGCCCCAGGCTCCATCCATTGGCTGGTTTTGCTCAAAAACTGGGGAGGGGGAAGGGAGGAAATGGGGAAAGCGAGCGAGGTCGGCCTTAGCAATCGAACCAATGCAAGATGGGTTTTATGTAACACTGACCTGCGTGCTTCCGGCAAGCGCTTTCCCACTGAATTGCAGGAAACGCGGTGAGGATATACTGCTTTCTTTCAGATAAATGGCTTCAGATGGGTAAGAGTGACCTCTGGCCGAAAGGCATTGCTGTACATGATAGAACGCTGGGCTCGGTCTTTAATTGCTTGAGGAAGAAGGCCTTTCGAAAATGGAGGAGTTGGGATGAGGAAAATGTCACAAGGGATGTGGAGAAGTGGGCATCTCTGAGTAGAATAAGATATATAAGCATATGAATTCTCTTTCCAGGTGCTGGTAAGTTTTGCTTAGGGGTATTTTTTTATCTCCAAAAACCGTTCTAAGCTCTGCTTTCATTTTGTCGCTATTCTGTTCTAAGATCCAACGGATAACATAGAAAAGAAGTGTAATGGACGTAAAAGTAGAAAAGCTTTTTTAAAGAGAGGTGACCTTCTGGATACATCCATGCAATGTTCGTCACACTCAGTAACCATGGCTTTCTGAAGATTTTTATCTGGGTCTAGTCCAGAGCCCTATTTACTTTCTTGCGTATTGCCTATCTATCAAAATACTAAACAAGATTCATCGGTTTAGGTATTTCAGATATTTCAGAATCGGCCAAGGTCAGATAGAAGCCATCACATGGCTGAGCCAATTATTTTGACTCTCCCATCCATTCCTGTAATAGTTTTAAAGGAGCCTTCTGTTTAGATGATCCTTGCAGTATAAGAACCCTATCTTCAGATAGTATATTAAATGATCTTCAGGGTAAGTACTTTCTGGATGGTGTATTTCTTGTTTCTCAAATGTGTTTGCACAACTCACTGAAATATGCATTTGAGTTTATAGTACTGACTTATATGAACCCAGCCCAGATAATTAAAGACCAGTGAGGCCAGAAAGCCAGAAAATTGAGTAATTTAACTATGGTTAAATGTCTTCTGCAAGCTAGGAGTCACTGCAGATTTCAAGATTTTTGTGAGTGGATCTTGGAGAATTCCATTGTTACCTGTAATTCTTATCTCTATTCAGATAATGGAAGAATGGAAGTCAAATAGTGTGAAGGTTGATATTTCAAAATACAAATGTTTTGGAATGAAGAATGATTTCAATGTGAGACTGAAAATTAAGATTTCCTTTATGAAATATAATGGTGCTTTTTTCCTGTGATAATTGTTTTGGGCTCCTCTGCTATTGCTGTAGTTCTGTGAAGAGTTATCTGAAAAGGTTAGAATTCTAAAGTCTACAAATGTAGGATATGCCATGAAATTTACTAGGCTGTTGCATCTGAAGGTAAATCTAATGTTCTACAGAACCCTTATGCCAAATATTGCTTCAAACAGTCATATGGGGTGAGGGACTCTTGAAATGAAAATCTGATGTCTTCAGTTGTTTGAAACTGTATGCTGCTATCTAGAAGGTAAATGTTTCTGAGGTTTCAGTTCTCTAGGTAACACATTATGAACTGAAAATTCATCTTAAGGCAATTTCTTTAATAGGCTAATACAAAGGTTGCAAAATTTAAATTTTAAAGCACATTAGTTAACAAAAAATAAAGAATGGAGGAGAAAAGGTGTGCTTGACATTAGGGTCAGTCCCTTTTTTTAAAAGTGGGATGTAATTGTAATCTGCAGAGATAGAAAATTGTTTATTAAATTTATGTCCTGCCTTTCCTCTAGGAGCTAAGTTAGTATATGTAGACTCTATTTTATCTTTTCACTGAAGCCCACATAAAATAGATTAATCTGACTGACCCAAAGTTACCTGGAGCTTCTAATCCTGTGGGAGGCATTGAATTTGGGTCTTCCTAGTCCTAATCCAGTATTTCAACCATAAAACATGATATTTTAATATATTGAGAGATGTTTAGATTAGTACACCATCTTTGGAAAAATGAAAACAAAATAGTTAAACCAAACTAGTACATGGTCTTATTGACCCAGTATAACATACAATCTCATGTTAATATAATCTTAATACAATTAGCACCCTTCCTGGAGCAATAGGTAATGGAGATGGCTCGTTTTCAGATTTTCTAGCACAGGTATGCCCTATTTCAGTGATCCCAGTTTAGCATCTATGCTACTGTTTCTAAAGCCTCCCTGGAATGACTCAGCAGATCCCAATTATCTCTTGTCTTCCTGTGAGCAGTTACTTTGGATTATGAATGCTTTGGGGCAGGTGTGTGCCTGCATGTGCTAAATGAGTCAGCTGGGTGTGTTAGTTACCCACAAAGTCATAGCTTGCTGTGTTGATGAGACAGTAGATTGTTTGCTGCTTATATTCCAATAAACCACCTTCATTTGTTTATGAATGATAGGTTTTGTTGTGTAATATGAGAAGACAGATTATGCAAAATGTTTGATCTCCAGTGTGGAAACCTGAACTTTTTCTTTTAGTTAACACAAATTGGTGAAGTAGGCCAGAGTCCATGTTAGTCTAGGAATGTTTATTTATAAAAAAAAATCCCAGAGAGACTCAAACAGCATGAAAGCTATGTGTGCTTTGGCAGTAAAGTCTTGGCTTGTTTTTAATGCCTCCCTATAAATGGACTGAAAAAGGAGCACACATGTAAATAGCAAAGCAACGTGGTTGGTCTGAGAGAAATGGCAAAGCCAATTTGCTGAGGGAATGTTTCACACAAAGCATAAGATGGGGGAAAAATTAAGCAATAGGAATTGAGAAGCAGATTAGAAGGTCAAATGTAATTAGAAATAACCTTATCTACTTGGATCAGACCAAAGACCTGTGGAGTGCAACATTTATTTTGTCATGGAGATCCATTACCTATAAGCAAAACAAAAGTACACTAACCTGAAAATAGGCAGTTGCCTATCACAAATTGATATTTGTGTTCTGGTCCTTTGAACCAGAAAGCAGGCTGAAATTCATAATAAGCAGGGAAGTAAAGAATAAATGAAGTCTGGTGGTGGCCTGCAAATTAGTTGTTTGATTGTTGAATATTGGTGAATGTTAAACTTGCTTTTGGGTTATTTATTTATTTTGCTTTGTGCTTAAGTCATATTGTTGTAGGTTATCATGAAGGCAGTAGAAGTATTCAGTATTTTTTCTGTGTCCCAATAGAAACTGAACCTGTAAAGGGTGGGCTGGTGGGGTTATATTTCTGGCTATTCAGGAAAGGAACAACAAATTATGGCTTACTTTTAAATTTTCAAAGTTGTAAAACTTGTTTTTCAATGTAAGTTTCTATGCCTTCCATATTACATCTTTCTAACAGAGAAAGCATTCTTATGCATAGGAGTTGCCCTTTATGGGGAAAAAAGCCCAGTAGAGTTAGCTTTTGCATTTATTGCCTTGGTAACTGAATCTTTTGTGGAAAAATGCAACACAGTGTCTTTAATTTAAAAGATTTACATGACTGCAACTCTTAAGCAATTCTGGGCAGCTTATAGGAGCAAAAGATAGTTAAAAAAGATAGTCACAAAGATTAATACAAATAATAATTAGATGCCATTTTTGTTAATACTTTGTGATATTTCACAGTATTTGAACTTTGCAATACAAAGTTCAGCAAAACCAAATAAAATGAAAATTGAAATTGAAAAATGAAAACACAAACCTGCATACAGCTCTAAATTTAAGTAGAAAAATACCTTTTTAATAGCAACTTTAATTGTAATATTTAATAAAAACTAATGCAAATTAAAAAAGAATAAAAGTAAAAAGTACAGAAAAGAAAGAATAAAAATAAGGTAAATCAAATGAAGATATATATATCTTAGAATATAGTATAGAATATAGTAAAGAACAAGAAATGTAAGATTATATATATATGTGTGTGTATCACAGACATAAACAATTGTAATGCATTACCTTCTCTTAAACTAGAAGAGATGACCTCACCTTTCTATGAACTATTGATAAATGCATAAAGCCACCTATTTTTGTTGAAAGGCTCTGCATCTACCCCACCCTTTCAGTACAAGAATTCCAATTGAAACATCCAAGGGAAATCTCTTCTAGTAACAGGTTCTGCCATCAAATTGCTTTTACTATTAGAAAGTTTTTTCTACAATTCATTACAATCTGCTTTCCTACAGCTTAAATTCCTTCTCTTCCATGTCATAACCGTCTGTGTGATTGCCTGTCAGATTTGAAGCAGCTTGGCCCATTGAATCTCTTTTTGAAAAGAGTCGATTTCTATGTTTGTTTCCTTCTGCTGCAATTTTTTTGGTCTACTGGCATCACTAAGACATCATTGAGGCATCAGTCTAGAAACTCCAGTCACTCTCTCTGAGCCTACTCCACCTCACAGGGTGTTTTTTTGCGGGGGAAAATAGGAGGGAGGAGTATTAGATATGTTCACCATCTTGAGTTATGTTTTTAAAAAATTAACAATGGGACCGGAACAAGATGCACTGGAACAACTATTTGTTGTGATTTGTAAATTATATTTTGGGTATTAAGTAATACTGGAGCCAGGTAGCATAGCCCCCATCCTATAGCTTTACATTTAATGTTAATTTTGTTAGTGAATCACT